TTGCTACTTAGGGGCATATTAGTCATTCTTTAACTCCAGAGAAGTCTCTACGCATTTTGGTACTTCACGATATTTACTTTGTATGTTGTTTACTGGATGTAAGATTGGCTAGCCCGATATTTGACTCGGGTTTATTTCTGAGTAGCGATACTCTTTTCACTATTACTACACTTTCCCTCAAGGGATAATTGTACATTCAATACTCTCGGTCGTTCTTACGGAACACGACTTTGTTGTTTCATAATCTGATTATTTAATCATAATGCCTACCGATACACCCTATGCAATGATCCTTCATTCTTAGATATTTATTACGTGCTCAACTAAAGATATTTGTATGTGTTATGCTTGCTATGGTTACATTAGTTGTAACCCACTTCTACGAGTGCTGCTGGGTTTCTTTGGCCATTTATGTCCCTCACGGGCTATGTTTTATCCTTACGGACCATCCCTAGCCCTTAATGACCTTAATGGGGTTGAATTTGATCATTTGAGGTTGGTAGTATCGATACTATACTTGTAATATCGATACTTTGGGGTCAAGTATCGATACTCCTATGAGTATCGGTACTAAAAATGCATTATGTTACTAAAATGGGGGCTCAATATCGATATTTCCACCCTGAGTATCGATAATATCCCTACCTGAAATCCTTAAATTTTCCCCCAATTCATCTAGTATCGATACTATTCATCCCAGTATCGATACTCAACCCCTGGAATGGTTATTTTATGCTCGAAAAAACACCTAAAATCACTCTAAATGCCACTGTTTGATTCTAAATCATGTACTAATGTTGTTGATAGTTATTTAGTGTCTTAAAGTGTCATAAAACACCTTTTTTTTACATATAAACATTATCTATGGAATTAATCATGTTTAAACCCTAAAATGCTCAACTACACAAATCTTAGCAAATTCTTAAAATTTATGGAAGTTTAATACTCCAAAGGATTATAAATACGCTACATTGATTAAAGAATCCCAAAATGAAGCTCATTTGCTGAAAAACACTCTCATCTAGGCTTGGATGATAAAACCCCTATTTTTCTTACAAAAATAAAAACCCAAATCTTTAAATACATAAATGATGTTGCTGGAGGGATTATGGACGGATTTCTAATATGAACTTGAAGATAACGAAGAGGAAAAAGAGAAAGAAGAAGAAATAAAGAGGATGAGAAAATAAAGAGATAATAAAGTCTTCATCTTTTCAAAAATGGGGAAATTACTCAATTTGTCCTTCCTCGTTTTTCTGTTAAATAAAAATCCCCTTTTTATGGCTAATTGAGCCCAAGTCCAAACCAATTAAGCCCAAAAACTTGGATTATACAATTCACGTGGTCTACAAGTCTCTCGGATAAACTCAAAACTACTAGCCCGGAATTTGGGGTGTTACAAACCATGCTAAAAGGATAAACAAAAAATGATCAAACGACAGAAAACACTCCAAAAGGTAGAGAAAAGGTGTCATAAAGGCATGATTATTCAAAATCAAAGAAAAATTAAAGATGTGATAGAAGGAAATAAAAAGAAAATAAAAAGAAAATAAGAAAAATTGATGACGACAACCAACACTAAAATTGATGTCGTCATCTATCAACCGATGATAAAGAAAAGTTAAGTGACTATTAAAATTTTAGAAAGAAAAAATTGAAATCTAATTAAAATTAAAATATCTATAGATCTAATTTTCTTTAAAAAAAATACTTTTAAAGAATCTCGAAATGAAGCTCCTTTAGCCAGCAAACACTCTCCTCTATGTTTGGATGATAAAACCCCTCTTTTTCTTATAAAAATAAAAACCCAAAGCTTTAAATCCATAAATGATGGTACTGGAGGGATTATGGACGGATTTGTAATATGAACTTGAAGATGAAGAAGAGCAAAAAGAGAAAGAAGAAGAAATAAAGAGGATGAGAAAATAAAGAGATAATAAAGTCTTCATATTTTCAAATATATGGAAATTACTCAATTGGTCCTTCCTCATTTTTCTGTTAAATAAAAATCCCCTTTTTATGGCTAATTGAGCCCAAGTCTAAACCAATTAAGCCCAACGACTTAGATTAAACAATTTACGGGGTCCACAAGTGTCTCAGATAAACCCAAAATTACTATCCCAAAATTTGGGGTGTTACAAACCATGCTAAAAGGGATAAACAAAAAAATGATCAAACGACCGAAAACATGCCAAAAGGTATAGAAAAAGTGTCATAAAGGCATGGTTATTTAAAATCAAAGAAAAATTAAAGATGTGATAGAAGGAAATAAAAGGAAAAAAAGAAAAATCGATGACGACAACCAACACTAAAATTGATGTCGTCGATAGGGGTGGGAATAGGCCAGGGCGACCTACAGGGGCCTACGGCCTGGCCTATATAAATCCTGGCCTGGCCTGGCCTATTTAATAAAAAGGCCAGGCTTGGGCCTTTTTAAAAGCCTATTAAATTAAATAGGCCAGGCTTAGGCTTATTAAAAAGCCTTATAAGCCTGATAGGTCGGCCTATTTAAAGTGACTACTTTGTAAAATACGCTAAGTTAGAGTGACTTAATAGGGACTTTACTCTAAAATTAGTGACTAAACTGAAAATATTAAATGTTTATTGGGAAACATGCTTTTAAACATGCCATGTTTTTAAACAGGCCAGGCTTTTAAATAGGCCAGGCCGAGCCCAAATAAAAGCCTTTGACAGGCTACAAGCCAGGCTCAGGCCTATTAAAGCCTAGCCTGGCCTGGCCTATTCCCACCTCTAGTCGTCGTCGATCAACCAACGATAAAGAAAAGTTAAGTGAATATTAAAATTTTAGAAAGAAAAAATTAAAATTTAATTAAAATTAAAATATCTATAGATCTAATTTTCTTTTAGATCTAATTTTCGTTTAAAAAAATACTTTTAAAGAATCCCAGAATGAAGCTCATTTAGCCATCAAACACTTTCCTCTAGGCTTGGATGATAAAACCCCTTTTTTTCTTACAAAAATAAAAACCCAAAGCTTTAAATCCATAAATGATGGTGCTGGAGGGATTATGGACGGATTTGTAATATGAACTTGAAGATGAAGAAGAGGAAAAAGAGAAAGAAGAATAAATAGAGAGGATGAGAAAATAAAGAGATAATAAAGTCTTCATCTTTTTAAAAATGGGGAAATTACTCAATTGGTACTTCCTCATTTTTCTGTTAAATAAAAATCCCCTTTGTATGGCTAATTGAGCCCAAGTCCAAACCAATTAAGCCCAACAAATTGGATTAAACAATTCATGGGGTCCACAAGTCTCTCGGATAAACTCGAAATTATTAGCCCGAAATTTGGGGTGTTACAAACCATGCTAAAAAGGATAAACAAAAAAAATGATCAAACGACCGAAAACACGCCAAAAGGTAGAGAAAAAGTGTCATAAAGGCATGATTATTCAAAATCAAAGAAAAATTAAAGATGTGATAGAAGAAAATAAAAGGAAAATAAGAAAAATCGATGACGACAACCAACACTAAAATTGATGTCGTCGTCTATCAACCATCGATAAAGAAAAGTTAAGTGACTATTAAAATTTTAGAAAGAAAAAATTGAAATTTAATTAAAATATTTATAGATATAATTTTGTTTAAAAAAATACTTTTAAAGAATCCCAAAATGAAGCTCCTTTAGCCAGCAAACACTCTCCTCTAGGCTTGGATGATAAAACCCCTTTTTTCTTACAAAAATAAAAACCCAAAGCTTTAAATCCATAAATGATGGTGCTGGAGTGATTAAGGACGGATTTGTAATATGAACTTAAAGAGAAAGAAGAGGAAAAAGAGAAAGAAGAAGAAATAAAGAGGATGAGAAAATAAAGAGATAATAAAGTCTTAACCTTTTCAAAAATGGGGAAATTACTCAATTGGTTCTTCCTCATTTTTCTGTTAAATAAAAATCCATTTTTTATGGCTAATCGAGCCCAAGTTCAAACCAATTAAGCCCAACGACTTGGATTAAACAATTCATGGGGTCCATAAGTCTCTCGGATAAACTCGAAATTATTAGTCCGGAATTTGGGGTGTTACAAACCATGCTAAAAAGGATAAACAAAAAAAATGATCAAACGACCGAAAACACCCCAAAAGGTAGAAAAAAAAGTGTTATAAAAGCATGATTATTCAAAATCAAAGAAAACTTAAAGATGTGATAGAATGAAATAAAAGGAAAATAAGAAAAATCGATGATGACAACCAATATTAAAATTGATGTCGTCGTCTATTAACCAACGATAAAGAAAAGTTAAGTGACTATTAAAATTTTATAAAGAAAAAATTGAAATTTAATTAAAATAAAAACATCTATAGATCTAATTTTCTTTCAAAAAATACTTTTATATTTATGTTTGGAAAGATAATATTAAAATATATAAAAGAATGGTAGATATGTTTTTTACAGTTATATTAAAAATGTAGAATTAAGAATAACATTTGATATTAATTCAAAATTTGATTCATATCTATCCTCCCATCACATGAAAAGAAAATAGCAACAGTAAGCCCAATAACATACATTACCAATGAAATTAATAATGGTACATAACATTATATTTTATTTTAGTTAATTATTCGTCGTTAAAAATAATAATAATGATACTGATGTGTCACTGTAAGATAATATTACATTATCATTGAAAAAATAAAAAAGATGTCATTTCAACAACATTTTAACGGTATATCATCAAAATGAAATCAACATTAGGTATGTTTTTAAAAAAATAATTAAATGATCAAAATAAAAGTATGTGATTAATTAGATGACAAAATACATAATTTACCTTCAAATTACATAATTTACCTTCAAATTAATTACCTCTATATAATAATGATGGGCATGGATAATTAGGACAAAAACAGACCCATTACTTTATACGAATACATAAAGAGAGCATGAAAGGGGAGGAGGACCTCACTTCAACGCATCTATCATTCACAAATCTTAGCTTCGGACTTTGGTTCGGGTGTGGACTTTGGTTCGGTAAGAACCATCTCCATTCTTAATTAGTTTTTCTCTCTTTGCTTCAACAGAGTATACTCCAGGAATTTCAAGCTGGCGATCGAAAATGAAGGATCCAGTGTCCGTGAAATCATGCCCAAGAACAGAAGAATCATGGTATATGATTCTTAATATTTGTTCAACGTGTTTTTTTTTTAATATGGCTAGTCACTGGAAATGTGTGTTGATGGAATGGTGTTTGATGTCATTTTGTTTTTGATAGGGAGCTGGTGAACCTGATGAAGAAGGCAACAGGTGGCCCCCATGGCTTAAACCTTTGTTAAGAGAACAGTTCTTCGTTCAATGCAAGCTTCATATTGATTCTCACAAGAGCGAATGCAATATGTATTGCTTGGATTGTATCGATGGCTCTCTTTGTTCTTCTTGTCTGCCTTCTTACAGGGATCATCGCTATATTCAGGTAATCCACCATTCATTTCTTCTTCTTTTTATGGGTTTTCGCTTTCCATTTCTGGGAGTCTGTTCTCCGCTAAATTTTACCTTCCTATTTTCTTTTCCTTCACTTTTTCACGGCATCCAAGCATTCGATTTTCAAACTCATTTACTCTGTTTCTAACGACAAACCCAAATGTCTTTATCGTGAATGAATGCATCAGTTGACAGATAAGACAGCATAACCCACGAAATTCTCATGTGACTTGTCTGTTAATTTCCCATTTGATATGTTTTTTTTAACAGATAAGGAGATCTTCGAACCATGATGTAATAAGGGTATCGGAGATACAAAAATACCTGGACATAACTGGAGTTCAAACCTATGTAATAAACAGTGCCAAGGTCGTCTTCCTCAATGAAAGGCCTCAACAAAGGCCAGGAAAAGGTATCATCAACACTTGTAAGGCCTGTGATCGAAGCCTTGTCGATTCCTTCCGCTTTTGCTCTCTCGGTTGCAAGGTAAAAAAAAAAATTCTTCATTCATTTTCTCGTCAGTCAAATCTGCTGTTTGCTAGCCGAGTAACTGTACGGGTCAAATTATGATCTTGACACTTCAACTAATATCAAATTTCAATTTTAGTCCTATAATTTAATAATATCATTAAAATTAGTAAACTGAAATACAGATAGTTGGAACATCAAAGAAGAGGCAAATGGAAAAGGCAACCGAGTCCGAGGACTCATACAGCAGCAGTAGCCATGGAAAGTCAAAGAACAACCACAGTGACAATGTGAGGAGCTTTAGTCCTTCAACACCCCCTCCAACATCGGTTAATTACAGAACTGCCAAGCGAAGAAAGGGTATACCCCACCGATCCCCAATGGCAGGACTAATCAACGATATTAGGGCACATAACCTTAAATTTTAGAGGTATACATTGTCCCATTGCCTTAAAAATATATATATAGACAAAGCGATGGTCACAATGCCCCGAGTCTTTCACCAAAAAGAGCCGGCATTGTCATATTCTCGAGTGTCGTGTAAAAAGAAGCAGCACAAACATACAAGTGGGGATGACAAGTGGAAAAATAAGCCCCCAAATATATTAAGAAGCCCTTTCATTTTTAGAACTACCCTAGGGGCTTATTGTAATTTAAGGTGAAATAAAATTAAGACAATATTACAATTATTTTTTATATATTTAAAGATAATTATAATAATATTTTTCTTATTGAATATAGTTTTTTTATCTCAAAAATTATATCTGTTCAAGTTAGATAGGTCCTAAATTTGAGTTAATTTAATTATAAGTAAAAAATAATAATTTTTGAATCAAATTTAAATGGGGGAAGAACTTGAACTAACCTGACCAATCACCTTCCATAATCTAACACGTAATTGTATTCCTAATTTTTTTGTTTCCGTTAGTTTGACATAAACAAAATTCATTTAATTTAAAGTTAATTTATAATGTATCGTTGACCTTATATAAACCACTAATAACTTAAATTTAAATATTTAAATAAATTTCAGAATAATTTAAATTTAAAATATTTGAGTTGACAAAATTTAGAAGGGATCTCCCTCGAAAATGATTGAATTTCATATTAATTAGAAAAGTACTATAAAATAAAAATTAACATAATTCTGGAGATACCACCTAGGTCTAGGTGTGTTGATTGTTGGAATGGTGAATAGGTCAGCCGCATTGAATCATTATCATTCAAGTATTTTTACAATCTTATTCCGGTCACTAACGTTTAAACTTTTTAAATTTAGTTACTTAACTTTCAAATTACTCTTAATTTAATCATTGTAACATTCAAATTTATTTTTTTATTTTTAATTATATATTAATAAAATAGTAATATAAAATTTCATGTTACAAAATTTATTAATAAAACAAATTAGATTGATCAAAATAGGAGTGTCGTAATCGTCCATTGGCTGAGCCAGAAATTGAGATTCGACTTCAATAAATGTGTTAGAGCCGTCACCGATCATTTAAAATTAGGTTGATCGGATACCTTAGTTTACTATCTTACCTGATCCACGTTTTACCATAAATATATCGGGTTCGAGAGTCGATTACAGTCAAGGAAGGATTAGCACCATTGTACTGCCCTTTCGTTGCTAATTTAATTTCACGGTTGTCTTAATCGCGAAAATTAAATGTTAAATTAAAAATTAAAATTCGATCCAAATTACTTACCTTTGATCGATTAACATTACCCTAAAAAATAAAAATATGTTATATTGTAAAATAAAATATTAAGTGAATAAAAGAGAAGAACAAAAAAAAGGTTAAATTTTAACGTTTTAAACGGACAATAAAAAAACCCGAGTGTAAGCGGATATTGGTTAGAAGGTTATCCTAATTAATCTAAATGAAAACCTAATTAAGAGAAACTCTAGAGGTCCAATTGAAATTAAGTATCTTAACAAGCTACAAACCAGAGACTAAAAGAATTCCAAATTTGGACGAAATACATACATAAAACTAAAAAAACAAATATATATATACATATCGAGAAATATATAGAAATAAAATTAAAAGAATAGCATGACAAAAATAAATGGAACAGATTCATGCCAAACAAAGGGCGCATATCTCGCATATTAAGAAAACATGAAATAATAAAGAAAATAATGTAAAGAAAATATCAACTAAATTACAATAAAAATTGTGATGCAAAATAAAGTAAGGAAAGGAAAGGAAAGGACAATTTGAGAAGTAATCAAATTATAGTAAAATGAAAAAGGAAATGATTTACTAAAGAAAAAACAGGGAGAAAGAATTAAAGTTTGACCAGGAAAATTAAGTCAACATAGAATAAATGACGAAATTAAGGAAATAGGAGAAATAAATTAATCCTAAAGTTTTTCAAAAAGGCAATTATTGTTGGCCAAAATCTCGTAAAGTGAAATAGCATTTTAAATATGATTAAATGAACACGAAATAGAAAAGGAAAAAATAAAAAATAAAACAAAATGTAGGAAGAATTTAAAAAGAAATCATAGTGAAATTAAGTAAAAAGGAATAAAATGAATTTCCAAGAAAAGTTTAAGGGATTGAGATAGTAGTTTGACCCTACCCATTAAAAAGGTGCGGATCTTAAGGGCTCCACAACGGGCCCTCGGGTCAGTAAAAAGGCCAAAACTTCAAAAACAAAGTTCATTTTTTGACAACCCCACGCATATGGATCAAAATTATTTTCTATTTTCTCTGAACATATTCTTCAACATATGAAGAACATTCAACCGGGGTTCGTTGAAAACCTAGATTTTGGCCCTGCTCTGCCTTGCTGGCCGCCATGGACAGACGTCGACCACCGTTCATCGGCGGTTAAATCAAACATTTTTTACACTTTTCAAAAGCCCTTTTCTTTCTCTTTTAGAATTTCACCACTATTTTCATCGGAAAGCCTCGAGGAGAGCAAGATCTAAGAAAGATATTTCGTAATCATCCTCTTTCGATCATCGACTTCCTCCATCCGTGGTGGTTTTTCAAGTTAAAAAAGGAAAAAAACTAAACAATTGAACATGCAAACACAAAAGACCAAAATCGAAAAAGGTAGTAAAAGAATACCTCTTCTATTGATGTTTCTTTCAAGATTACAAGTATTTTTTGCTTTCAATCTAACCTCCTTTTGTTTTTATTTTACAAGAATTTATAAACTTAAGGATCTCGTTTTTTTTTGGTTTAGAGTTTCACTTAGATTAAAATGCTCTATCCTTTTTTGTTTATGGCTTGATTTTCATGAAATCTCTAAAAGAGATTATCTTTTCCATGATGTGTCGAAAAATCTAAAAAGTGGGTTTGTTTCTTGTTGCGGCTGGAATGAGGACTCCCTGAGAGCCCTAAAATGCTCTCAATCGGACCATCAGATTATAATCTGATCTAACGTACAAGAACATGCGGCGTTAAAGGAAAAAGGTGAAACCCTAGCTCCAATAGGGTCTTGAAATGTGGGCTTCCCATATGCTGGACTTATACTGTTGGGCCTAGTAGGGCTTGCTTTTGGATTGGATTGGACCTGTTAAAAATAAAAATAAATAAATAATATAACCTAATACATAAAATAATAAAAATAATAAAAATAATAAAAAACTATATAACATATATTATATTTCCAAAAACTATATAATATGTTTTCAAAAATTATATATATTAATATATTTTCAAAAATTGTTTTCAAAAACCATATTATACGTTCAAAAATCGTTTTCAAAATCATATTATACATTTTCCAAAACGTTTTCAAAAGCATATACTATATATTTTCAAAAATTACATTTGAAATTATTTTATATATATTATACTATATAGTAATAAAAATTCCTTAATGTCCCGGGCGAAAATGGGTGTCTATAACTGCCACTCTTTTCCCATTTATCGTGTAACGAAAATAAGGCAAAGATAAAATGACATAAATTTTTGCTCGGTAAGAAGAGGGTTCAAAAGCAAATTTACTCATCTGAGTCTGATATCTTTCTCTGTGATTGAAATCTGACGCAATGTCTGTCGACTCTCTTATCGAATATCTTCCGTCGCGGAGTTGAAATTTGATTTGAAAATTCTAATAGATCATGACTCCTTACTGTTAAGCTAAATTACGGGTGGCTCATTCGTCATGAAGTTGAGTCGATCTTGGATGTTTCGAGCATGATATACTTTACTATGAAGTTGAAATCTAGTTCGACATCTGAACTGGAAAGCGGCTTCTTGTTGCCAAATTATAGTCAACCTTGGTCTTCTTTTTTGCTTAAAGACCTTGGTTTGAAAATTAGACCAGAAAGTAGTTCCTCGTTGCAACCATGCATTTGATATACCCTCGAGCTGAATGGAATCGAAGTCGAAAGTTTTCGTTGAGAGATAACCCTTCTCGCCTTGAGCTATGATGTAAATTAGGATGAGAGATAGTTCCTTGTTGTTGCAGATAACTCATTTATTGTGAAATTAAGTTGATCTATTGGGCACAATATCCTTCTTCGTGAAGTTGAAATCGTGGGTGACTCATTCGTCTTGAAGTTAAGTCCAGATTGAATAAATTTGCCTTGGTCCAAATATCCTTCATTGTGAAGTTGAAATCTAACTTGGATAGGCTGCATTGTTTTTAATTTTGAGCTTCATTTGAATTCAATATTCTTGAAATTGACCCTGACAAAAATCTGCAAAATTAATGCGATGCTATGAATGCAATGTTCTTGTGAATGCTTAAAATGCATATGCAATATATGTTATTTTAAGATTTAGAGAGAAATCTCAATCTCTTGCTGTCATTTTGGATGACTCTTGAGTCTGGAATCTTGAATTTATGATCCTTGAACTTCGATAGGCTTTGATCCGATACATATTCTAGGAGCTTGCAAAAAGAAGGTTTACTTCTAGTCTTGATTTAAACAATGCCTTCAATGAACTAGAAACCATTATCTCGAGTATGGTGCAAAAAAACCTTTTTTGGCTTCCATACACCTATACCTTTTAGAAAACCTTTGTATAGTAATACGTGATTATCTTTTCAAAAGCGAATAAATCATTCTTATTTAAATTCAATCTAAGATGCTTACAAGGAATTGATCTTTTAGAGAAATGAACATATTTATTCATGAGGAAAAAGAACAAAGAGTACATGGAGAATATTCTAGAAAGTCAATAAAAGAAATACAAGTAGATGCCCTAAATCTCGACAATGCGGACGCCTTTGAACTGACACACCATTAGATGACTTTTGAGTACAACTTTTGTCAAGGGAACTTCGAAGATGTGACAACGTTTGGGAGAGTACAAAGTTACTCTAAATTGTTAAGTATACGGAAGACTTGGATGTTGTGATGCTTTACTACCTTGATCCAGGACTTTTCCATGCGCGAATCCTGGATCATTATCCAAGACACCCTTTCGGGTTTTCAACTTGAATCCATCCTTTCAGGTTTTCATCTTGGACCCGCCTTATTTTTTGTTCTTGTTATCTTTTCTATTTAGAGTGCCCTTTCGGGTTTTTACTCTAAACGTTTTTTTGCTCCAACTTAGGGTGCCCTTTCGAGTTTTCACCATAAGCGAAATATTTATTGACTGCATCAGAATTTACGGGATTAGGTAGTTTCAACCTGTCCATTTCAGTTAAGATCAGTGCTCCTCCAGAGAAGG